TGGGATGGGATGTGCCCCATCCAGCTGTGAGTCACCCAGCTGTGCCCCGGCGCCAGCTGTGCCCCTGCCAAACCCGCCTGGGCGCTGCCCAGCTGGGGCCCGGCCAGATGTGTGCCTGCCCTGCTTAGCTGTGCCACGTCCCTCCAGATGTGCCACATCCATCCAGATGTGCCCTGTCCAGCTGTGCCCCTTGCCCCAATGAGATCTGCCCCTTCTATCCAGCTGTGCCCTTGCCCCATCCATCCAGCTGTGCCCCATCCAGCTGTGCCACTGCCCCAACAAGATCTGCCCCATCCATCCAGCTGTGCCCCTTCTATCCAGCTGTGTCCAGTCCCGCTGTGCCCTTGCCCCAATGAGATCTGCCCCATCCAGCTGTGCCCCATCCAGCTGTGCCCCCACTCCAATGAGATCTGCCCCATCCATACAGCTGTGCCCCATCCAGCTGTGCCCTTGCCTGTCCAGCTGTGCCCCATCCAACGGTGCCCCCACCCCAATGAGATCTGCCCCTTCTACCCAGCTGTGCCCCATCCAGCTGTGCCCCTTGCCCCATCCATCCATGCCCCATCCAGCTGTGCCCCTGCCCCAATGAGATCTGCCCCATCCATCCAGCTGTGCCCCTTCTATCCAGCTGTGCCCTTGCCCCATCCATCCAGCTGTGCCCCATCCAGCTGTGCCCCACCCCAATGAGATCTGCCCCATCCAGCTGTGCCCCTTGCCCCATCCATCCATGCTCCATACAGCTGTGCCCCTGCCCCAATGAGATCTGCTCCATCCAGCTGTGCCCGTGCCTCATCCATCCGTGTCCCATCCAACGGTGCCCCCACCCCAATGAGATCTGCCCCTTCTATCCAGCTGTGTCCCATCCAGCTGTGCCCCTGCCCCATCCAGCTGTGCCCCGTCCAGCTGTGCCCCATCCAGTTGTGCCCCTGCCCCAATGAGAGCTGCCTCATCCAGCTGTGCCCTTGCCCCATCCATCCATGCCCCATCCAGCTGTGCCCCCACCCCAACGAGATCTGCCCCATCCATCCAGCTGTGCCCCAGCTGTGCCCCTGATATGGTTTTCATGTTTATGTTTGAGACAAAATATATAACTTCATAGAACGGGAACGAAGGGAACGAAGGGAACGAAGGGAACGCGGAACACGGGAAGTGGCTCAATTGGAAGGGACCTTGGAGAATAATGGCACGTAACGTGAGGGGACATCACGGAATTGGGGTGGAACAGAATGGAATTGGGATGGGATGGAATGGAATTGGGATGGGATGGGATGGAATTGGGATGGAATGGGATGGAATGGAATGTAATGGAATGGGATGGGATGGAATTGGGATGGAAGTGAAAAAGAATGAAATGGAATGGAATTGGAATGGAATGGGATGGGATGGAATTGGGATGGAAGTGAAAAGGAATGGAATGGGATGGAATGGAATGGAATGGAATGTGATGGGATGGAATTGGGATGGAATGGAATGGAATGGAATGGAATGGGATGGGATGGAATTGGGATGGAATGGAATGGAATGGAATGGGATGGGATGGAATTGGGATGGAAGTGAAAAGGAATGGAATGGGATGGAATGGAATGGAATGGAATGTGATGGGATGGAATTGGGATGGAATGGAATGGAATGGAATGGGATGGGATGGGATGGAATTGGGATGGAAGTGAAAAAGAATGAAATGGAATGGAATTGGAATGGAATGGGATGGGATGGAATTGGGATGGAAGTGAAAAGGAATGGAATGGGATGGAATGGAATGGAATGGAATGGGATGGAATAGGATGGAATTGGAATGGAATGAAATGGAAAGGAATTGGGATGGAATTGGAAAATAATTGAATTGGGATGAAACGGGATGGAATTGGGATGGAATTGGAAAGGAATTGAATTGGGATGGGATGGAATGGAAAGGAATGGGATGGAATGGAAAGGAATGGAATTGGGATTGAATGGAAAGGGATGGGATGGAATTGGGATGGAATGGAATTGGGATTGAATGGAAAGGGATGGGATGGAAATGGAATGGAATGGAATTGGGATGGAATTGGAAAAGAATTGAATTGGGATGGAATGGGATGGAATTGGAAAGGAATGGGATGGAATTGGGATGGAATTGGGATGGAATGGAAAGGGATGGGATGGAATTGGAAAAGAATTGAATTGGGATAGAACGGGATGGAATTGGAAAGGAATGGGATGGAATTAGAATGGAATGGGATGGAACTAGAATGGAAAGGAATGGAAAGGAATTGGGATGGAATTGGAAAAGAATTGAATTGGGATGGAATGGAAAGGAATGGGATGGAATTGGGATGGAAATGGGATGGAATTGGGATGGAATGGAAAGGAAATGGTATGGAATTGGAAAAGAATGGAATTGGGATGGAATGGAATGGAATTGGGATGCAATTGGAAAGGAATGGGATGGAATTGGGATGGAAATGGGATGGAATTGGGATGGAATGGAAAGGAATTGGTATGGAATTGGAAAAGAATGGAATTGGGATGGAATGGAATGGAATTGGGATGCAATTGGAAAGGAATGGGATGGAATTGGGATGGAATGGAAAAGAATGAAATGGAATTGGGATGGAATAGAAAAGAACGGAATGGAATGGGATGGAATTTGGATCGAATTGGGACGGAATGGAAAGGAATTGGGATGGCATGGAATTGGAATGTATTGGAAAGGAATGGAATTGGGATGGAATGGAATGGAATTTGGATGAAATGGAAAGGAATTGGGATGGAATGGAAAGGAATTTGAATGGAGTGGAATGGAAATAGAATAGAATAGAATAGAATAGAATAGAATAGAATAGAATAGAATAGAATAATATTCTCTCCCCCCTCTTCCCCCTCCAAGTCCCTAAAAAAGCAAGTGCGTATAGATATATATACTCTCCCCCCTCCTCCCCCTCCAAGTCCCTAAAAAAGCAAGTGCGTATAGATATATATATATATTAAAAAAACAAGAATAAAGCAAATATATTGGTATAAATAATTAAATATCTGACTATCCCAATACACGTATCTCTAAAGACATAAATATCCAAACTCATAAATATATAAATATCCAAATATCTAAACACAGGATGCACCGTGCCAGGGGGGTGGCACTCGTCCAGCCGCTCCAGGAGTGGGGCTGGTGGGTGATGGACCAGTGTCACCTCCAAGGTGATCCCCGTCCCCGGTGACCCCCCCAGGGATGGTCCATCTGGCCAGGAGACCTCCTGCAGAGAAGCTCATTTTGGGAAGGTAACGAGGTTTTTTTGAACCCTTTTTTTGGTGTTTTTTTGGTGGGGGGGTGGTCGGCTCCTGGGTGGTCACTTGGTGATGGGGGTCCCTCCATCCTGCCCCCCAAGGGTGTCCCTGGGTCAACTGTGGGATGTCCCACTCCAGCAGGAGGGTTCCACCAAAGCACCCCCAAAACTATGGGGTTTTGGGGGCTTTGTGGGTCCCAGCACACGAGGACTTGGGGGCTTTGTGCCCGTCAATTTCTTAATTAAAATTAAGATTGCTTATTTTATGACAATAACTATTATTTTATAACAATAACTATTGTTATTAGTGACTGTTATTATCTGCTATCGCTGTAGTATGAAATACTCTTAATATTAGTAATTACCACTGGTAATATTAGTGGTAATAATGCAGACTAATAATAATAATAGTAATAATACTGATGAATAGTGGTGTTAAAGATTAGTAATTACTGTTACTAATTGCTATTAGCAATCTGTGATTTATTACAGATGACTATAAA